GATAAATAAAAATAAAGTCCTTAGAAAGTAAGCCATTTATTAACAAGTCAATACCGACTCATCCGGAGTACACGATTCTTCATCGGTCAATTTCTGACGGGGAAGGACTTAGAGGAAGGAATGTGAAAGGTGGAACAGGGTTTATAGGCCAGATAACCATCTATCACAACGGTCGGCTTGAAATATATATTAACAAGTATTTTCATCTAAGCCCCGGGCCAAGCAGTTTTTGCACTTCTATAACGTGGCATTAGTGACTTAGGTCAGGGATGTCCTAAGGCGAGGCGAGAGGAGATTGAACCGCAACTTTTTCTGGAGCTCTTGTTATCTTAGTGATTTGTCGTGAAAGGACTGTGTTCCTCGCTGATGCTCTACCAATGATACCATGGGAAGATGCTTTGGACTCTAGGCAGCACCCAGATATCTATCTCCGGATCTATATAATTTATGGAGGATGGGTAACCCCAATTAAGTATAAGCAGTCTTTGTAACAGAACTGATGTATACGAGGACGAAACTACAGGATAATATTTTGCTTAGGCTATCCCCTATGAAAAGAAATAAGTCTCCAATCGTAATTTTAGCACCCAATATCGGCAATTTATCAGCCGTGGCACAGACTGACACTTTTTAGAGGCAAATTTAACTAAAGAAATGAAAAATATCTAATTCAATCTTCAATGTTGATTCGGAGTTACCGTTCCTACAAACTTCAGCTATGGCACAAGCGGATCCAGGATTTGATTTTGGGGAGGCTTCAGACCAAAAGTTTTTTTTTTTAATTGAAAACTTACTTTAAGCGCGTTTTGTACTTTTTTTTATGGTGAGGTAATTAGATTGAGCCGTCTGGTCTCCGATGAGTAAAGCTCGGGTAAAGTCGGCTGTAATCGACTAATAGAAGTATTGTTGCATATGGATTAAAATATCTCAGAAACTAAAAATCGGATCTGCTTACCTATAAGCGAGGGAACTGTTCAGCATTTCATCGTCTCTGTAATGGGCTATAATTCAAAATTGTATCTCAAAGCGACGCCGTGTTAAGGCGAAAAGGAAAAGATAGTGGCGAAAACCAAATGAAAGCGAGTTTAATGGAAGATAAGGATTAAAACATCTCATAAACTAAAAATCGGATCTGTATACTGTAAGCGAGGAGAAATGTTCAACATTTCATCCTCTTTATAATGAACTATTATTTATAATTTATATTTGATATTATTAATTTCGCCATGTTGATGTTTTCACTTCTATCGTATGGTCTAAAACACATACCTTAGTTGTACATATATAACTACAATTACTTTGGAATAAAAAGAAAAAAAACTACTTTTATGGAATGGTCTTTCTTGAAGTGACTATTGAAATCCTATTAAACGTAATTACACGAACAATAATACTTTTAGAAATAATTTTTTTCATAAGACAAGGTTGTATTTAACCATTTTGGGAGGGATCTTAGCCCGAAAGTTAGATCCCTAGTAGATCCCCCTGTGACCAAGGGTAAGAAAGAGGGGTTATTCTATAGGTAAAATCATATTAAACCAGAGTTGGAAGGTGGCAATTTAACTCGTGGTCAGCTATATAAATCCAAGCGTAGACTTGGAGGTATAAATACAAATAGTTCCTAATTATACAAACTATTTTGTATATTGTTCTGGCAGGTAATTGTTTTTAATTTGTTCATTATTGCTATTCTGAGGGGATGATGTTCCAAGTTTCATTCCCAATAAAGTTTCATTTTCTATTCTATTCTAAAAAAAAAAAAAAAAAAAAGATAGAATACAATAATGATTGAATATAAATAAATAAAAAATAAGCACTGATGACATGCATATAGTTGTTAGGCATGATATAGAGTTTACTTCCAAGTGCTACAACTATTGGTGAGTTACTATACCAAATAGATCATATTCTTATCCTCACTCTTAGAAGGCTACAGTTTTGCATAATAGATAAAAGACCGAAAGGAAAAAACGAGGAAATGGCACTAACTTATGATTTCGTAGATAACCCAGAAATGCCATAATTACTTACCAATTTAAAATGTAATTATAAAAACATAGTAGCATCCTTAAGAAGGCTAGTTACTCCATAAATCCACATTGATATAACCCTCGTTTTACAGAATATGGTATTGAGATCAAGAATCTCAAAAACAAGAATAAATTGGCCGATCAATTGTTTCTTACGACTTGGTTTCTGGATTCAACTAGGCTTTATTATTTATTCGCTCTATCCTTCCATCCATCACGAATATTTTCTGCGAAAGTTCGGAGATATATGGTTATCTCCAAACTTTTCTAGCTCACATTTTCAGTCCGTTTCTATCTCGAAGTTTTATATAAGGTAAATGTACCGGTAAAAGACAATTTAAGAGAATATTTCAAGATGTGAATCACTACTTATCTTCTGATATACCAATTTCGTTTTTTCTATACAATCAATTAGTTTATTATTCATGAAATTCTGACAGCTTATTTTGTACCAGTAATAGACATTCAGGTTTTGAGGTCGGCATATTTTTTATATAATTAAAAAAAATTCTCCACAGTTTGAAACAAGGAAATGGCAAACTACAGACGAATAAATCGGAAATTCAAACTTATCTCTTAAAGAGAAATGATAAGGAAAGCTTCCCGAAACAAACACCCAGGATTTCGCTCCTTTGAAAAATCAACCAATCGGCTATCGTGGCATAATATCATCTGAGGTTCAGACATCGCCTTTCTACGTGTTTTACCTTCAAATCTAATCGTATTTGCACTCTCTTTTGGACGTATACATGTTAATGAGTTGAAAATTGTCTATTACTGGTACTTATAGTAATTACATGTGGTACATTTACCATACATACATGGTCCACTATACCAGGGGTGCCCATCCTCCCAAGGCCGATGGCGCAAGAACTTAACTCCCCCGTCCTAAGATATTTGATTGCTCCCCTTTTCCTAAAAACAGAGCAAGCTTAGGTAGAATCAGAAAAATCGTAGATTATAAACAATTACTCTTAATGTGATATGTTCCTTGATTTTACCCTTCTTCCTTACTCCGAAAATTCATAACTCCTTCGAAATTTGCCTCCCTCGAAACATTAAAAAAAACCGTGAAAATATACCCCTCTCAAAAACGGTGTTTGAAGGATACTTTCTTAAATTATAGCCACTTTTAAAGCTCCCGTTCCTTCAACAAACTCCTCTTAATTTAGTTATCAACACTATTGTATAAAGCTAATTATCATAAATATACAATTTTAAATGATTGTTTCTATTAAAAATAAATCCATTTTACATTTGCAAGCCAAATCTCGTAAGTACATAATTATGAATAGTAATTATTTCTCTGAAATTCCTTTCGAACGCATCTGAGCCAATTTAAAATAACTGAGTAACCAGCATACTGAGAAGCAGTAGACTTCAAATATTGAGAGTAAGGATGTGATGAATGAGCACGGCCTAGCGATCATACCTAGATACCTTTAAAAAAAACACAAACTCATAGGCAAACCAAGTTGACAAGGTTTAAAATCGTCCCAATGCGTATTAAAGTACATAGTGTGGATATGTAAACCAAATTTCCAATTTTGAAACTTACTAACAGATTAAAATATAAATGGAGAATATTATCAATATAATATTATGCATGACTGCATACCAGTGCGAGGGAAGTATGCATCTTTAAACCAAAAACCGTTTCGAATCCAATCGGTTACACATATTGTTACAAGTTCCGCTTGTAGCTGGTATAGAACGGCTCCGAAGTAACGAAGTTAATCGTTGCGGAACACTTATGATGGCTACACTGCATGGTTAGAATAAACTAACAGCACATATATATTAAAATTGATTTAATATTTAAAATAAAAATCTTAATCCACCATGTTAACTAAAGTTAAATGTCGTTAAAATATTTGTGATTAGTTTTTGGCTGTGGTAAGAATGTACTATTTTCAGGCAATATTTAGTTAAATTTACTATTTAAGATAATGGTAGTTTACTCTTTTAAAATTTAAGGGAATAACCAAAATGTGTATTGTAAACGAAAAAAACATAAAAAGATAAAATGTACTATAGCATCAAACATTTTAATTAGAAGTGTGTATAAATATTCCAGATATTATTAATTAGAATAAATAACGAGTTTTTTAGGCTATCAACAACTTATTGCTGTACCCTTGAACTATGGCGTTATTTTTAATTATACACCGATATTATATGATTAGTAGTAATAGCAGCAACGCATAAAACAACACAGACATTATTTTTATTTGACAATTTTAAAAATAAATGAGTTTAAATTATTTTATTCTCAGAATATAATAAATGTTTTTAAACAACGTATTATGAAGACATAAACTTTCAGAAATAATAATAAATAAATAATGAAATTTTGCTGCATAAATTATTGCTAACGTTTTTAGCCGAAATCAATGGTAATTTAGAAATTTTAATTCTGACGGAAGTTAATATGGCTCTGGGCTGTGATCAAAATAAAGCTTGAAATAGAGTACATTATTTTAAGATCTTTTTTACCATCACCACGGACTATCTCATCCATCGAAATGTATTAACTTACATAAATTTAAGTTTTAATTATGAGCTTTGGGGCTCCATTAAATAATCGAATTCATCTCGTATCCTATCTTTACAATCCAAAATCCTTAATGCTCTTAACTTCGTAACAAATAAAATTATCCATAATGTCTTTAATGTTCCATATGTTGCCGATTTAGCCCAATTTAGATACCTATCCTTCCATAACATACTTCACACCAATCCAAATCCTTATAACAACAATCTTCCAAGGTGTCTGAAAAAATGGTAGTTCCGGGAACTTCTAATTGGAGTGCTACCAATAGGCAGTTTCTCTTTAAGTCTGAACATGCCATATTTTTCATTTACACTTACTTGCTGTATGTTTAGTTAATACAGTTGTAAATTTTAATAAAAATAAAATTTAATTATTGAATTAGTTTATATAATCATACACCATATCAGTGTATAGTTCTAATTAATATACTTTCTAGATATTGAATACGTTGAAGCTCTCTCCACAATTGAAACCCTACGATCGACCAGAAGGTTGCCTTGATCAGAATAACGGACAACCCCATTCTCGAGCACCGAAAGTCCAAGAAAAGTCAATAATACAGGTGAGTCTTCGGCAGACCTCAAAGAGGTTCGAAATGAAGAAACGTTCCAATCGGAGTGATTATCGATTAGCGGCGCACGAATAACTGCTAGAACAATCCAACAAAAAGAACGAAAGAGATAAAACACAAGAGAAATTACACGAAAACGAAAGGCCATCAAACCCGCAACAGCTGTTGAGCGGCAAGGAAAGGGTGACATTTTATTTTCCACCTCACAACATTTTGGGGGTGTGCGAGTCATTCCTCTTCTTTGGTAGAAAAAAAACAATAAAAAGAAATTGCAGCTGTTCAAGTACTGGTATATTTAACGAGATGCTTCTATTTGTTATTTGCTCTTATCAATCCCAAAACGGGTTTAGAACTGGAAATTTTTTTAGCCTCGTAAAGTTATAATAGTAATTTAAAAAAATTAGAATATTAGTTTGGAATTTGAAAAAAAAAAATTGCGGTGTAGCATTCTTAGAGCACCATCCCATTATGATCTTAAGGAGGACGAAAATGGGGATATCGCCTCGTGGACACCCTGAATAAAAATTCTGAATTCTGTCCCTCGACAAGATTGGGTGAAGAAGTTCAAATCTTTGATGTTGACCCAATGGGATGAGACCTGTGATAGCTACCCTTCGAAGCTACTGCAGGTAAAAGAAAGCAGCTGAAAAGGAGAGGATCAAGACGAGAGGAAATAATATTGTGCAGCCTCAGGATCGGCCATAGCGAGTTCTCTCATGATTATCTACTCCGCCGTCTGGAGACCCCTACCTGTGTTAATTGTGGTGCCCCTAGGACATTCACTCATGTAGATAGATAGATAGATAGAAAAAAAAACTTTATTCTGGGACTAAGTCCCTTCAGAATAACAATAATGTACAAAATAATAGAATATTACTGGCCTGAACGTTGAAACAATAAATAAAATTGATAAAATAAAATAAAAAGTAAAGAAAACCTTAGGTGCACAAGCTATATACAAACAGATAAAACTATGTACAGAGCATTTAAAATTATGAACAAAACAATTAAAACTATGAACGAATCACTTGAACTATGAACAAAATTATATTTAAGGGTTGAACAACATAAACATACACTTTGAGAAATGAAGAACGAAAAAGAGATACAATGAGTTCATTTCATAAAAAAAAAAAAAAAACTTTACTTGAATATATATATAAATAAACAGTTACTTATAATTGAATAAAAAAAAAAAAATAATAAAAAAACATGTATGTATTGAAATTCCGACGTCGATAGTAGGAAATGCATGTACTATCTCTTACCAAGTGTTATGATTATATGATTGCTACACAATACATATATAATATCAATAGTTAGCTGGTATCAGACTGTTTTTGGAACAGGAATTGGAATAGGAGGTTTTTGAATGTATACAGGGAAGGGGCATGTCGAATTTTGATCGGGAGGGAATTCCAAAAGTTGACAGAGCGGGCTATAAAGGAATTTTGGAATGAGGCAGATCTATGAGAAGGGATGTATAGGTCAGAGGGTCGGGATCTTGTAGTGAGTGAATGGATTGAGGACTTAAATTGGAGAAGGTTGTAGGCATAAGAAGGACGATGATCGGTAATGATTTGATAAAGGAAAGTGCCAAGGAAATATTGTCTTCTTAAGGAGGGGAAGAGCCACCCTAACTCAGTGTAGTGGTGGGAGACACGGGAGCGTCTCGGGGTTCCAATTACAAATCTTACGAAGCAATTCATAAGTCTTTTGAGTCTATCACGCAGTTCCACCGAGAGGCCATCGTACACCACACAGCTGTAGTCAAAGTGGGGAAAGATGAGATGTAGTAGTTGAGTGGTATTAGTATTCACCCAGAAGGAGAAAATTAATCGTAGGCGATCAAGTAAGAGTAATACTGAACAATTCAGTAAGTGCAGTGAAATCCCTAATGCAATACTTTACCACCGGATATAAAAATGTAGGAATGCCAATGACCCTTCGGGGTATAGGCACAAATAAATAAATAATAAATTATAATAACATACATTTATGCTAATTCATAATCTATATCGTACACCTCCAAATCTATATACAAAAAATTAAGAAACATGAATTAAATGATATTTTACATAAAATAACAATGCCCCTACATCAAATCACAAAATTTATATGAGAGGCCGAATAATTAAAATTATTATTATTATACAAATATGACATTTTATGGGAATATAAGAGCAATATCACTAGAAACTTAAATAAAATCAATGAATTCAAATATCTTGGCAAATGGATAGCTGAGGATTGAAGCTCCTCCAAGGACATCATGGAAAAATCACTGGATGAAGATGAATTATTGGGACACTAAATTCTGTGGTATGAAATAAGAAAGTAAATCTCCAAACAAAAAAAAGGCTATATCATTCCTGTTTGGAAGGCGCCATTCTATACGGATCTGAAACTTAAGTGATCAACAATAAGCAGACAATGCTACTGATATCGGAGATAGACTTTTGGAGACGTCGTTGTGCCATTTCCTGACTACGACGTGTTCCTAACAAAAATATTAGGAGGGATTTTCAGCATGAAACATCTATGCTCTACGACATAGAAACAAAAAGACTGCAATGATATGACCATTTACAGAGAATGACAGAGGACCGATGGCAAAAATAAACCTTTCTCTATCAACCGATAGAAAGGCGAAAAAGAGGACGACCAAGGAAGAAGTGGTTGCAGGATATGGAGGAAGGCGCGGCTGCCAGAGATCTTCGAGAGGGAGACTAACTAGACCGAAAAAAAATCGATAGAGTACGAAAAACTCATAAATCATAAATAATAAAAATAAAATTATTATAAAAATACCAAAATGATAAAAGATATGACTGCTATAGTGTAAAATTATTCTATCCATCCAAATTTTCCTTATATTATACAATGATCTCGATTCGACTACAACCAACATTATGACAGTTTAAAATAATAATTTTTTTTTTAATTTTACAGTTGCATCGTTATTCCACTGGACGATTGATGTTATATTGTAATGAAGTTTAAGAATACTTAGTAAGAAATTATAATAACTATAAAGAAATAAAACATTGGGGATAATAAAATTTAAATAAAAATTACAAATGTAGAAAAAGGAGAAAACAACAATGAACAATGAATTATCATTTTTAATGTAAAATTAATAAAAATTATATTATGAAAGAAAAACAAAAGAAACTCTCAAATAACTGATAAGAAAATCTATGTATTACAGTCAAAAAAGGATTGCATAAATAGGATAACTAAATAATGTAAATAGAAAATTAATTGCACAGAAATAAACGAAAAATCGATAACTGATTTATTTTTAAATTAAAACAGTTAATTCTAAGCCTCAGCATCCGAAACCGACAATTTAAGGGAAAAATTGAATATATATATATATATATATATATATATATATACTTAAAATAAGATTAAGCTATTGAATACTCCACACCGGATGGGTGTGTATTCCACAACAATGACGGTAACAACACCTAATTTATTCTAACCATTCAAATCTACGACCCCAATTTAAAACACTATTGCAGCGAATTTCAATAATGAGAATTGTAAACGATATAATTTAGATTACAGGAATAAGATATTTAATTTTTAGTAACAAGAGATCATAGAAGCAGAGTTAAATGGATAATTACCACGTTCATATTATTTAATGGCGGTTTCATCCAACCAGTGGAATTTTTAATTTAAAGATTTAAAGTTTAAATAATAATTAAACATTATTATAAAATGATTGTAAATAAAATTATGGTACATTTATGTTAAAAAATATTATATTGCTTACCTCCTTGACCAATCATATTCTTGATAAGACGAGAGAGTTCTGGACTTAAATGCCTTTCCTCATCATCGTCGATTCCATAATCCAAAGATTTGTAAATCACCAGACCCAAACCGGCGACAACCTAAACAAAAAGAAAAACGTTTTATTATTATCTTTTTATTTAACTCTCCGCTCCAAACATGGGCTATAACACTAATCACAATAATATTCTTTAATAAACAATACTGAATAAGCAATAGGAATAGATGGGCGATAAACATGGGTTGTGGAAAATAAATAAGTGGATTTGTGCCAACATTTCTTATTTCCTGTAAAGGATTTAACAAACAACAAACATTTTTAAAAATAGTTACCGAAGTTTCAAAAATTCAAAAATCACATTGACTTTGACCATACGTGCTTTAGTAATAAAAACAAACGCAAAAAAGATTTTGTAATAAAAAATATATATTTTTTTAAAATATAGGATGATTGACGGGGGAAAGAAGGAGAAAAAAATGTGTTTAACAGTTTACAATTCCATTCTACAAATAAACCACGAGAAACAGCGTATTATACAAGATTGCGCTCCAATATCAGAAAAAAATTTTTTTTTTCAATTCTAAAAGACATTTAAAATTTTGAAAAACAAAGAGTGCACTATATATTATAAGTAATGAGATAATAAAAAAGTACAGCTTAATAAATAGCCATCAAGTGATATTTCATAATCTTAAATAAATTGCTAAGAATATTGATGAAATTTCTCTTTGTGAATATATATATATATATATATTTATATTAGAATTTGTGTTATTTCGGTGCACTTACTGTGCACTTTTTATCGATAAATAAGATAGAAATGCACAAAAATGTTCGAGCTCCATTCAAAATCTAACTAGTGAAATATATACTAAAAAACTAATAATAATTAATTTGATAATTAGGACATCGAATAATCGAATATCTATCTAATAGGATAGATACCGTTCGTTCAAATGATCTTATGTAAAATTGAATTTTTTCACGGTGGAGCATAAAAACATGTTATTTCTTTTATGATTTATTAGTATAATTTTATGTTTTATTTCGCTCTACTATTTTCCTATTTGGCAGGCTACTTATAGTAGTTGCAAACTACAAAATGACACTTTCACCGCAAAGAGAATAAACATGTAAAATAATTACAGTATTTGTTATTATTATTATTACATTATTTATTATTTACACTAATAGTAGCGATATATACAAACCCTGCCATAAATGAGAAATCCTTGTAAGAAAAACCCACATAACATTATATACATAGTAAATTAATTTAAAGCTACCTAATGTTAGCTTCAATATATTGTTCACTGAAGTGATATGAAATAAACAAATACATTTCGTTTATTTTGCCAGTTATTAATTAATTTTAGGTTCAACACCGTTACCATTCAGCCCTAACAATAACTTGCCTCAACTCATGACTGGTTCTTGTTACATAATAAGACTGTCTCAAAATGTAACTTAGTTGACCAAGTAGTCCATGAAAAATATAAAATCAGCCAAAATAACTGATAAATATTATATGAACTTTGTAAAAAACAATATTTAAAAAAAAAGGAATTTTCGAGGTTTTAACCCTTTTCCTTGAAAATATCTGCAAGAAATTAAGCTAAACAACGTGTTATAAGTAAAATAACGTTTACTTATAAAATAACGTTTTATAAGTAAACGTTTTATAAGCATATATATATATATATAATTGTGTCCTGTTGTTTTGTATTTCAGGGGAAGTCATAATCTTTATAAAACGGGACCATTACACTATTTTTTTCAGCTATTAATGCTTCTGTGAGATGGACCCCAATACTCGTTTAGTTCATTTAGTATTTAAATAGCTCATGATAATAGAATGACATTCTTCATCTGGAATTAATAACAATATCATTAATTATTAAAAAAGGAGTTTTTCTTTTATTAACTTATCAGCTTTGAGGAGGCTGAATGGAGTATCGCGTACTTACACTTGAGGTCGAGGTTGTACTAAATGTTCACATCAAATTTAAGCACCTCTGCCTACTTGCTCAGAAGCCTACGCCGCTGACAGCTATTGTTTCCAGAGCTATTAATGTTACAATCAGGATCATCTGCATAGTCCATTGTGTCCTCCGCAAGAAGTTGATGGAAGGTTAGCCGAGCGGACCGTCCCACGGGTGTCGTTAACAGACCGCAATGACAGGTTGGAGCCGAATGCTTTTCAAATTGGCCAATTGCCTAACCGTTGGCTCTTCTTTCTCACACCATATGTTATCTAACAGCTCATTTGTCGATAAGCTAAAATCCAAGCTGGTCGGAATGACTTTCTGTCTTTACAGATTAAAAACATTTTCATCAACAACACCAAAGTTTCTTACAACCATATCAATGCTCGCCCACCTCATAGATTGAGAGGTAAGTCGGTTAATCGGAGGTTCACGAGGTTCGTGACTAGGTCAGTGAGATCGATCAGCTAACTAGCAAAGCTATATCACGAAGGCATGGCCGAATTTATTTTGTTTTTCTTTTATTTTAACAAATAGGTCAAATATGGGGTCACATTTACCAGAACATAAGACCACAAATCCGGCCGGTGCAATTCAGAAGCATATATTTCTTAATTGTATGATTCTATCAGTCGTATATAGGGCGTAGATACCGAAATTAAGAGGATACAAAGCTGAAAACGAGGAGTGTAGCCAGATTTGATTGACAGGATCCTAATGATTGAACAATCTTACCTCTCATTTACTTATTTATTTTTACTTTTTTTTTTTTACTGATCACACCAACCATTCTTCTCTTCCGTTATTCGCTACAGTGAACCATACATCCACAATTAAGTAAAAACTGTTTTATTCCAAGTAGAGTATAATCTCCTTTCGGGGTCTTTTTTTATAGTTAATTTTATGATGCATTTAGATTTAATTATACAATTAGGAAATATTGAACCAGGAAGCCAATTGATACCGGGACAACTTATTCAACTTGGAATTTCACCATTTTCAGAAATAATTACGAACCTTCATCAAATTAGCGTTTTTTTGGGGGGGGGATGTTTTGTTACTTATCACATTCTAAGGCGGATAATGACCTAGCTAGGAGGGTGTAGATACCGAAATTAAGAGGATACAAAGCTGAAAACTTGGAGCGTAGTCAGGATTTGATTTTGGAGGGTCCTGTCCGACAGATCTGACATTAAGTTTTAAATAATGTAAGGAAAATGTTTCATATCTGTCATTAATAAAATGTGACAAATAAATAAGATAGTATAACGATCCATCAGATATTTGTTCGGTATAAAAGGTCAGGCATGCCAGAATCCTCTTGGATACGTCTTGGCCAACCTCTTGATATTTCTAGTGATTTGTTCTTTATCTAGTCCAACAACTTCGCACGTCTATTTCAATCGTCACGATGGCGTTACTTCAATTATATCTACTGGGAGCAGAGCTCACGATTTCGAATTGTAGCCCTCCATGTGATACAAATGATCATGATTTCGAACTACGTCCATAATATTCTACTACCCAGGTCGGTATGGTATTCTTAGAACATAGCGAAAGTCAACTAAAAGAAATAAAATAAAATACATTCATGTTTTTAAAAAGCTACTTGGAATGGCAATCTAATTACAAATTTAGAAGCCTGAGACATTTTTTGTTTGTTTTAAATGTGGTTCTATATTGAGATTAAAAAAAAAGTAGAACGAAGGTCAGCTGCTTCATCAAAAATACGAAATTGAAATTGATGATGTGCAATACAGAAGTAATTAGAGAAAGTTGAAAATATTATAATTTAACAAAAGTAAATAATTGTTCAACAATTTGGATTCGTATTTTTCTCTTATGACACTAGTATTTTCTTTTTACTAGACCAGTTTTTTAAATAAGTTATTTTATGTTATTCCTACTTTTTAGGAATATGTGCCGATGGGTACCAACCTCCCTCATACCAATTAATTAAGAAAGATCATATCCGTTTATTGTTACAGGTTGTGGCAGGTGTGGATTAAAAATAAATCTTAAAAAATAAAAAGTGTTACTCCGTAGCTGTGATGTTAAGAAATTCTTATAAACAGGACTACCTCTTTTTACTTCTTTCGCTATTAGATGATCTATCTATTAGTATTCATGAAAGGTAAACTCAGTATGTGCGCGTATGGTTAATATTAATGTTTACAAATTCTTGTGAAAGTCATGAGAAAAACATGCGAATGTACTTTTTAATACTGCAAGTTTTTGCTATTCAAAGCATTCACACGTTCCACTAACCTCGCACAGAAAAAAAAAAATGTATATTAGAAAATTTAGAATGTGTTATAGTAGTAAATTGTTCTCGCCGTGTTGAGTCTCATTTCTTTTCTCGCAATTTATTTTATGTCCATGCATTCTCATGCTAATCATCATTTCTATCTACAACTTTAATATATTACATACGAGAAAAAAGTCATGTATGTATTGTGATATCCGTGTGATTTTATTTTATTAATAAAACATAGTTATTAACAGGGTGGAGGAAGAGGATACTGCATACTAAGTGGATACTGAAGCGATTAAAGTAATGTGTTAAAATAACAATTTTTTTTTTTTTTTGTTTAATTTAGTATCAGGAATATATGTCTCTTATGTATAGAATAATAAGTGTTTGTGAGTATATGTAATGAAGGAATATACAAGTATATGTATGTCTCTTTACTAGGAATTGTAAAGAGACGTACATATACATACTTATATGACAATATATGCCAAATAGCGAATTAATTGAAAGAAATATACTGAGAAAAAATTTTCTTATCATTTTTGATTATTTTCATATATATTTGATTATGTAGAACTACTTCATAATTATTTTTTATACCTTTTTACAAAAACATGATACTTTTTTATTGTTTACCAAATTAATTGGTGATGTGGTTGGAGATGAATAGCTGTGATCACCTGACACAAATTTGGAAAATCTAGGTCAGAGATTTTGTACCATTTGAAACCTTTGGGTATCAGCCGTATGTATGTTCGTGTAACACCGCAATAAAAAAAGGTATAATGAGACCCTATCTGTATGTCACAGATGCTGCTCGAATCAGAAGAAATTCCATTCGAAAACAAGAAGTCATATCTTGTGAAATAGGAATCTCAGTCAGATCGATGTCTCGCATAATAAAAAGTAATCTTAGGATGGGTGCATTTCGAAGAATGACATGACAAAGGCTAACCACTACTCTAAAAAAAAAAATAGAGTGGAATGATGGAAAGTGCTCCTTGGCCGTTACACAAATGGTCCTCATCGAAAGATTTTGTGTAGCGATGAGAAAATTTTTACAATTGTTGAGTAGTTAAGTCGAAGTATCGTAAATTAAAAATACTCCCAGAATAAATATAGTCCACCTCGCGTAGTTCATACAGAAATCCAAAAATGTACAAGATTAATAAATCTCACGCTTAATTGCTCGTGCACACAAAACACGATATGTGCTAGCGTTCAGCGATCTCTTTGTTTTCATCGCTGCCGATTATTGCTCTGTCTGGGTGCATTAGTAAATCATATCGCTAAATCGCCGCGTATAGCAATGTACCGCCCGGACATATCATGTTATATGTGCACAGGCCTCAAGGCTCGAACACACAGAAGACGATATTTCTCGGCGTTACGATTCCTTTAACGGTATCGCTGCGCATTATAGCGCTGTCTGACTGCGTTGGTTGTAACATATAATATAACATATTGCCGTATCGCCGTGGGTAGCAATATCGTATCGCCAGGACAAACCACGTCATCTGTGCACGAGCCTCAAGGCTCCCACACACAGAAGGCGATGGCGTTAAGATCCTTTTGTCGGTATCGCTGGTCTAGGTCTGTGTAACCGCTATAATGCAAAGATAGTAACTATACCGCCGCCTACAGAAATATCGAATCGCCAAAACACACTATGACCCTTTAAGAGGCATATTCATGAGTTTTAAGTTAACTGAGTTTTATCGAAATTGGCTGTGCATTGTATATTAATAATTTATTTATTAAGATAATATCTCTATTCCAGCCAGCTTTTGGAAGAGCCCTGATGAAGGCCTGAACTTCAGGTCGAAACGTCGGCAAATGTTAAAATAAATATTACTGTTTATTTTTGCCTTCTTATTTCTGACTGATCACCCAACCATCCTTCTCTTCATTATTCACGATAGTCAACCATTAACCCACAATTAATAATTTATTTAATTTTAATACTACATGAGTTTAATTAATTTTAACTATGCATGAGTTTTAAAAACGTCTTAAAGTGACTACAATAAAGTCAGTGTAAAAATTGCCTATAACGGTCGGTGTCCGACCGAAGCAAGCAGTTGCCCGCTAGCGCTCTGTGTTGTACCCATTGTTTCCTCGTGTGAGTTCCTGGGCTACCGTTGGTGGGCCAGTTAGCCTACAAGCACTACGGGATGCTATTATTAATTGCAATTAATTTCAATATTAAGATAATATCTCAATTAGCATCCTGGAAACTAGGCCCATTCCGAAGAAAAGCCACGGCCCCAACAAGGCATAAGAAACAAATATCTTTTGAATAGGATGAATAGGCACCGTTAAAGGCGTCACTCTTTATATATAGTGCATTGTGTCGTTTAAAGCATTTCTTTTTACTTTTACTTTTTTCTTTTTTTTTCGAAGCCTTATAAAGTCTCGTTATGATCAAAAGACGGAGTTTTTTACTTTATCTTGTTTTTTTTTTTACACATTAATCCTGATAATAAACTCTTAAAGGAGACTGAATTAGACGTCAATCCTGGAGAAGCGTGTACTGAAGAATTTTCAGTTAACCAGAACATCAAGAGTCATTTTCCTTTTTCAATACCCTTCTTGACGAGTTTCCTTTTTTAATCAGGTCAGACTACAGAGTTAAAAAAAAACAACTCACATATCAAGGTAGCTCGATTTGTTATTATGTAGACTAGTTCGGCAGAACACAAATGTCAGAAATAATGAGACAATAAGTTAAGTTAATTCAATTTTTTAAGTAAATACGTTACATATAAGTTGGCAAAAAACGGCATAAAAGACTATCTTATCTTTTGTAAGTAAACCCTAACAAGAGTCAAGCATACAAATTAAAGTAACAAATAAATACCGAAAAAATAAAGGAAAACTCCTAACTGTAACTATACACTTCAGCATCGTTACAGACTACCGTGACAGGATAATATTAGGAGAATATTATTATTGGTTCGGAGTATGCAGAACATAATGGATTTTCACAAAATATGTTCGAATATCTGACGATTTGATAAACAAAAACAACTGAATTTGACACAATAAAAATTATGTTATGTAAATATACTGTATCAGTAGTACTAATCGTTGATTAATTATAAGCCATAATATAATTTTTCTTCCTCACTACCTAAGGTATTGAAGCATTGTGTTCGTGTTTTTTTTCTATGCAACATAGAATTACAAATTGTTAAAACAAATATAATTTTGCTAAATAAATTGTGAGTAATCGATAAAAATAAATCGAAAAATCGGTAGTCTGTTTTACGTATGGTACTTATGTTTAGCACAGTAAACCTTATATTCTTTAT